ATGAAACATTATCAAAGATGTTCTTCAATGATAAGGTTCTCTTTTTTCTGGCGGCGGGTTAAATAATTGTCACCTCTGAATGATGTTTCGAGATGATATTTTGAGAAGCAGCGATACATGAGTCATGTATGGCGTTATGAACTAATATAACTCGCTGCCATCATTCACCCGTCAAGTCATTTTTATTTTTAGTAAATCAATAAATTCCTTGTTCGCCAGACATTGCCTGCTTCATGTTACTTCTATTCGTGTTTACATTAGTAATAGTGAGTCCGAGTTTATCATCAAATTCGTCATTTACTTGATGGAACGCAAATGATCGTCGAGGTCTCGCAGAGAAAGAAGGCTCTACGAATTCTGCATTTTCTCTCGTCGTCGCAATGAAACAGTGGACGCGATGACAGCGGAGAGTGGAACACTATATCGCTGGTTCCCGGCGGCCCTTGCGAATTGCAAGTAGTACACAGGTAATGCCCTTATTGTTCAACTGGAGCGGAACTCCGGCTAAAAAGCACGTGACTAGGAGGCGTAATTTGAGAACATTCCAATTTTCGTTTTTCCGTACACAAATCTGTATTATTGCAATAGCGTCATGCCATTCAGTCTAGCTGCTTTAGACTTGCGGTAGCTCTGGTATGTGTTTTTCGCTATCTGTGTAACAAAAGAAAGTTTTACATTCACACAATTTTTGGGATCAAAAGGAGAACCCTGCTTTATATATAGAACGACCGCGAGCGCATGCGTTGACGTCAGGTAACCAAGAACAAAGAACGTGGAGGGCCAATCAGAATGCCGGAACCATTACTAGTTACTGGTCTCTTCTGGCTTTATGCGTCATGACACTTGAGGCGGGAATCAGCCAAGTATCACTATTTGAGGTGCAAAAAACAAAAACTCGTGGATCTCTCACTTCAGTGAGGGATTGTATCGGCCAATCTCGGATACGGCAAACTTATACCGAATAATATTATAATGACCAATATTGCACCTCGACTACAAATAAATACAAAAGTAAATGTTTTATTTGAAGTACCGCATAATGCTGAATTGAATTTACAGTCACTCTTGACAAATTTAAGTTTAGTTTATTGATTATGTGTACACTACATTTGTCAACAGGTTCCTGGTTTAAAGAACGGCGAGTACAAGTTACGGCTGCATTACCCCAATTCAGGAAAGCAGACTTGTGTTGTACAGGGAAAAGACAGAGGCAGTGAGGTACATGTAAATGAGTGTAGTGCTTGGTTAATAGTATCACACTTATTCGAAGGCACAGCTTAATGTGTTGTACACTGATAACTTTAACACCCCATGAATGGGTTTCGTCAGGTGATGAAGGAGTAAACGTAAAGAGAACACATTTTGAAAAAATACATGAAAATTATTTCGAAATGTGCAAAATTACATACACAAAAATGTTCCTGTGACACAATAATTCATATAAATAAACAAACACGAATATATTTATATAATAGATGACTAAGTAAATCTATTTTTTCTGCAACAGCATTAAGCAATAACATAATATTTCAGATTTCAAAGCAATTACAATCGATTCCGCGATTACATGATGGGTACCTTCCGTGTCTGGCTACAATTCCAGTGACCGTCACCAACCAAAAACTCACAATACGCCTTGACAGTGGAATGATTTGTGCATTTGCATTGATGGAATCTGACTACGAGGACCCTGTACACGATGACGTTTTTTTGAAAAGAGAAAGAGATCAAAAGCAAAAGGTAATATTATGTTTCCTTTTTTTCTCTCTCTCCCTCTCTCTCCCTGCGTTCTAAGTATTCTGCTCACCCACCAAAGCAAGTTATCATTAATTAAATTATTTTTTTAATAAATCTCAGCTTTTAGACTCAGCTACTCCGATGGCAACCAGCCTTGGAAGGAAGAAACTCACTATAGCCGGATGGTCACAGAATTTATTACAAAATGCTAGTGGCGAGGTAAGACAGTAGTGACGTCATCATTAATACATTTAGTATATTTTTTTTTACTCGTCTGAATGACATGTTATTCCCATCAGAATGTTGCGTCAACATTTTGCCAATTTTAAAGTATTTTTTTTTTTATAATTTGCTTTTTAATTTTGGATCAAATGGACTTTTTTAGATACATATGTCGATCAATAATTAAAAAAAAAACAAATTTTGTGTAAGGCGACACATATTGACTTTATTTTTAACACATAATGGTATTAAACATTGAATTGCGATTTATTGAAATTTATAAGTATTTCAGGATGACTAGATGAACTCATATTTTCTGCATCATAGAAAGGCGTGCTGTGGGTGAATCTTGCATACACCTCCTATCAATTGCGCCCTCTAGTGACAAACACTTAAATGGGTGAAGGCCGCTCAAAGCGCCGATGTTGTTTCGGTCCGTAGTTGTACACCATAGAAGCTTATGTTTCTGGGAGGTGTTACTATATTCTCGGGGACAAACAACCACACAATCAAACATAATTGTAAATTCAAACGATACTGCCTCCACTGATATACGTCGTTTTGACATACTAGTAATAGAAGCGATCCACCACTAGAGGGCGAGATTTATAGGTTGGTGTATAATATTGATGTTTCGATCGGTTTTCGCACGTGTGCTTATTTCAGGTCCCAGTTCCTGTCCTGTTATCTTGTAAATTGAAACACTCCTCTAATTTGTCAACATATGTCGATGGACTTTCACTCTTACAGATGACGTTTCGTTGTTAGCAATGTATTTCCGTTTCCCAAAATACATTCTCATGCGCTGAATCACATACTGCGATTATATGAAACCTCTTGATCTAAAACAAAAACTCGCAGTAATTGTATATGTTTTTCAGTCAGGAAATTTATCTCACTGGAACTACGGTGGAACATGGGACGTACAAGGTGGAGGATACGAAACAGAAAAAGGTAAACACATTGTAATAGTTATATCCGTATTGCCATTATAAATGCTGATAACATGGACGTGTTAAAGCGGGTGAGTCGTCACTTGCGCATGCGTCAGATGGCCATAACGTGTTATTGTTTACAAACAAGCGTCTACCCATGAGCCTTTTCGTTTTTAGCGTGTGTTGCTATCGTCGCTTGGGAATCAATTCGCGCGCGTGCGCAGGTGACGACCCTCCTGCTTTAAGCAGTATGAATAACATTGTTTTCAATAACATAAATTGTGATATAAATATATGATTAGATTGGTTTACCAAGGTATAGTTTAATCAATTATATTTGATTTGAATTCATTGAACTCCAAGTGTTTGAAATAATGTATTGTACAGTTCTGCGATAAGCATACTCAGCCTGTTGAGTTAATGCGAAAGGTACTGGGGTTGAATTTCAAATATTTACATAATTTTACCACCATCTATCATTATTTTCAGCTTTCGTATCCTCTCATATGTGGTGCAGTAAGTATCAAGAAGTAGATCTTACGAAGTATTTCTCAGAAAAACATCTCGACACAGCACCGGAAATACAGGTATGTCGGAGATTGGCAATTGAGGGCGCTCTGGGCAAACGCATTCGCAACTGGGCGGAATTTCGGACAACTAGAATAACTTTCTACGGAACCCAAATCCATGTTTTTTTATTTAATTTTATTTTTGTCAGATTCACGAATGGTATCATGAAGGTTGTTGTGGGGGTGGTTTCTATAAGTTTGAGGCGACCCTACTTAACGCTGCCGGTGATGTAGTCAAGAAATACAATTCTGGCGAGATTGGGACAATATATTCTGGTAAATGGGCGAAAGAGGGCGTGTCTTTCAAAGATTATGGGCCCGGAGTCAGGATGGTCGGATTAGAGTCACAGGGTGAGTATTTATCAGGTACTTTCAGATTTAAAAAAATGTTACGTGATGATTTCGCATCTGTAGATGAGGTCGCCTTGTAGCGTCACAGTCGTTCGAATGTCGTGTAAGCAAACATAGCGATTCACATGCGCTGTATACGTCGATTGTATCATTTTAAATGTATATCAAGTATTATTTATCAAGTTCATGTGATTTCAGGCAAAGATGATAAATTTTGGGGAGGCCATTATGGTACTAAATGCGCTGCTGCTTGTATTCGAGTCAAAAGTGAGGTAGAGGCTGCGGAAAACGATGTATATGATGACTTGGATCTCCTGGAGAGAGACGCAAACCAGCACGATCAGCTTGCTCTAAAGCTGCTAACGGATAATGCCGAATTGTTGGCAGAGACTGGCGCTTATGATGCGCAAGGTAAGAACTCGAATCTTGCAGAAAATTATTTTCAAAAAGGCCTCTCGCGTGATAAAAGAGCGACTTTGCTGTTATCTATGGCGTCATAACGACGTTTCAGCACTGGAGGGCGCTACTATTTGCGAAATGCAATAACAGTAATACTTTTTTTTCATCATTAAATATATTATTATTCCTCATTTCATTCTTTTAGAAGTAACAATAACCGAGACTGGCGCCGAGCAGAACGCAAAACGGGAGGTCAGGAGGAAAACAGATAAAAGGAAAAATCGAGAAATTCGAGTGTTTGTTTCGAGTACATTCAGAGATTTTAAAAGAGAACGAGAACATTTGATTAAGAAAACGTTCCGAGAATTGAATCGGATATGTTCTGATCGCAATGTGTTCTTTACGTACGTCGATTTGAGATGGGGAATAACCACGGAACAGACAAAGCATGGACGTACCATAGCCATCTGTCTGCAGGAGGTAGGTGTAACCCAATACTCTGTCGGAAGCGTAGTTTATATTTCTATATCCCCTCTATTTTTCGACAGCTACTTTTTGACTGCCTATCCCTTATCTTAGCGCCGTGTAATTGTCCGATAATTATTACCGCCATTGCTTCTTTTGATGCATAATATTCCCCTCAAGCTTAAAGTTCCGTGGAGGAACACTGGGCAACCGAAAGCCTGTGAGACGGCGATTTCGCCAAATTACTGCGCAGGTTACATAATGGTGTTGGTAATACTATCCTGTATTGTTATTGTTGCAGATCGACCGGTGTCGTCCATATTTTATATGTCTTATGGGTGATCGTTATGGATGGAGTCAGAAAGAAGACGAGAAAGACAAGACACTGGATCAGAGTTTTGACTATGCCGTCGATAACCATCGTCACTTGAACTGGTTGGATAACTACAGATATAACACAAGTGTTACCAAGGTAACATGCGCTACATAATTATGCTTACAATTCCGCTGGTCGTATATAACAGTAGATTAGATGATTTTTTTCACTTTAGTGTATTGTTTCCCACGGAAATACACGAAGAGTTCAAAATACAATGCAAATGAACGATAAATTGCAAACGGGCGAACATAAACGACCATCGTACGTCACCGAATAACTTAATAATTGTAAACCGAGACAGCACGATACGCCACGTTACACCGCGCCGCGTCGCGCCACGTCACGTCACGTCACAGCACACTACACCACGTCGTGACCCGGTGTCGTGCATATTTCAATATTCGTTGCATTGCAAACAAAAATCTGCTTTATTCAATCACTAATTACAATCTTCTTTACAGTTGGAAGTCCTATACGCAGCGTTGTTGGACACAGAAGCCGCAAAAAGTCGTTCGTTCTTCTATCTCCGAGAATCTCCAGACAAACTGAATTATCTGGTAGACCCACAAGAAGTAGAGGTAAATATGTTAATGTGGATGTTTAGCTTAGTGTATTGGAATGTTCTACATCGAATATATTATAATCCATATCTGATTCATTGGTTTAGGTGTATACATCAGAAAGTGAATGGCACCATGATAGACAATACGATCTAAGGCGTGACGTCACGGAGAGTGGCCTGAATATCCGTGCGTATGAAAGCCCAGAAGAAGTCTGTGAACTAATTAAAAGGGTGAGTGGAAAATATCAGATTCGGAATTTCAGATCTTGGAAAAACGAGTAATAAATTCGAAATGGAATCCAGCTTGCTACGAGCGATACGTTCCTTAGTTGAACGGGGTTAGCATAAAATGTCTCGATCTTCAAACACTTTTGTTAATTTCTTATTCAAGGACCTGGAAAGCTGTGTGGAAGAAGACTTTCCAATCGGAACAGAACTGACACTGCTGGAACGAGAACGAGACGCGCACATGGCATTTGCTGAGGCCAGGCGGCGAGTTTACATCGGGCGCGGAGAGTACTTTGACCACATTCAGACTTTCGTTGGTGAACAAAAACAAGTGCCACTTGTCATTCTCGGAGAATCTGGTTCTGGGAAATCAGCACTGATTGCCAACTGGGTGGCTAAATATGAGGAGGCGAACCAAGAAGCTTTTGTTTTTGTTCATTTCATTGGTTCCTCTGCGGAAAGTGCCTCTCATACAAAACTGTTACGACGGTAAGTTGTTCTAATATAGCTGTTGTTTTGTTATTGGTACCTAGTAGGACATCCGCCAACATGGAATGTCATATTTATAAAAAAACAAAACCTATTTTTGAACTATTTTGATAAGTAAAAAAAAAACTTTTCACTTTCAGGCTGATGGAAGAATTAAAACTGTATTTCGATTTCGACATGGCTGTTCCGTCATCGGACAGTAACCTGATCCGAGACTTTCCTGCGTGGCTCCGATTGGCTGGCTCACGTGGAAAGGTTGTCATCGTTCTGGATGCGTTAAACCAGTTAGACAGCGGGGCTGGTGGTAAGTCATTTCAACTCGCATTACCTGTAGGCATGTATTGCATTTCATCACCAAGATATGTTAGAGTATAGACTGCATCTGCTATCCAGTGCATGGTTAGCAGAAAGTTATACGGTACTGTAACAATGTCTTGTAGTCGCAGTCTGTAAAGTACTGTAATCAATAAATGCATTTTTGTTTTACTTTTTTGTCGATAATCGTGTGATTATGTGTTTTTCAGGGGAGGAACAGGATCTGTTGTGGTTACCTCGACAGTTGCCACCAGGCGTGTGTGTAGTGCTTACCACATTGGTCGGTAGGGTATGTATCACGTTAGTATAATGTACCAACTAAAGCAGGAATCTCAGTACCACAGAGAACAATGAAGGAATTAAGCCAATGAATTAAGCATTACAGTACTCGATATTGCTCCCACCAGGGATCGCGGTAATATACATTTGAGGTAAAATACCATTTGACTGCACATATTTCCCAATTCGGTGGTATTTAAAATACTTGCTAAATACTTGGAGAACTAACCAATCTTAGCTAGGGTGGACAAAATGGCGGTGTAGCTGACGTACTCTGAACAACAATATACAATTTAATGTTGGACTCGGTAATTATCCGTAATTGTTTTATTAAAAAACATTGCTGTACTTATTTTTTGATTAAAGGCTTTTGATGCTGTCACCTCGGCTGGCTGGCCAACATTTCCCGTCCACGCATTGAAGCCTGATGAGAAAGAAGCGATCATAACGGGATATTTAGAAGGAATCTATGGAAAGACGCTCACTGGTGAACAAAAACAAAATATCATCGACGCCCCTCAGAGCAATAACCCATTGTACCTTAGGGCTTTACTGGACGAGGTACGTCAATTATGTACATTTTATGCCTTATACTAGTATATAATATTCCCCGTATAGATCGTTTTCCGTTCACGTGAGATCCCGCGTTATGCGTGAAATCGAACGTAAAAACAGGACAATCAAAGGTTGTAGTGGTGACGAACATCCCGTGGGATTTGACAAACGGGAAATTATTTTGGGGAATATTTCCATGCTTAATAATGTGGTGTACACCGTGACATTTGATGATGGCCAATTTCGATGAAGTATGGGTGTTCAGACGCAACGAAATAAAGAAATAAGCTAATAAATAATAAAGAAATTCGAGTTAAAAATAAAATCGTTGATACTAGTATTTGCGGCAGACGTTCGGCGCGCGCCTTTAACGCAACTCGCGAGATCTTGCAGTTGAACGGAAAATCACCTATTATTATACGTTGTCTGTTTCTTTTTAGTTTAAAAATAAAAATTTTAAAAAAAATTAATACGCATGGCTTCGGTGTCAATACTTTTATGTGAAATTGTCGAGTTAGATAAATAAGGGCATCATGGATTTTTATTAAATTCAAGTTGTAATTACTGTACTCATTCAGTTGGATTGTGGCTAACGGCCACCACGACTTACATATTAAACGTTCTTGCAGCTTCGTGTGTTCGGTGATTTCGGCAACCTAGGGAAAAGGCTTGACCATTTGTTGTCTGCCGAAGACCCGAGTGTTCTATTCGGCAAGATACTGGAACGTCTTGAACAAGATTTCGAAAAAGGACAGGATGGCAGGTGAGACTTGTTTATTTAATAATCACATCATGATTCGTTAAAACAATGCTTCTATAAGTACGCCCTCTAGCGACAAGCGGGTCTGACGTAAACGGCTGTAAGCGACGTTATTATAGGCATCATTGTTGTCTTAATCTATGAGTGTGTCGTTAACGAACAATGCTTTCAAGAGATAAGTTATATTCAAAACGACGAACGACTGCCAAAAGTTATCTACTTGATATTGTTTGCACCCACCCGCGTCACGTTGATGCTGACGTCACAAAAGCGCTTTGCCGCTAGAGGGCGCAACCAGCAACATATGTATGTTTGAATATTGTAGTTTTGAATAGTATAATCAAACGTTAAAATTGGTAATGTACCATGGTTACATGGACTCGGTATTTGTTTCGTTGTAGGGAATTTCTTGTTCGTGACACCACCGCTGCTATCTGGTGTTCTCATCGTGGCATGTCTGAAGAGGAATTGCTACAGATGTTAAATGTGAGTTTATTTATTGAATTAGTTGGTTAGTTTAATATTGTTATATATGGTCATTGTACGTTCGTTCGTTAAATAAAACATAAAGGTCCAAGTGCTCGTGAAAGCGTCCGCCAACTAACTGAGTGCTTCAAGTACAAAGTTGTTCATTTCATGATGCAACAGTTTCGATTTGTGGTTTTGTATCAGAATTCAAATTGAATAATAATTTTGTCTATAACTATCGCGTGAATAATGCGCGATTTTATAGTTATATAGGTTTCACACACGTAATTATCATATTTTTTTCACTTCGCGTCATCTAGGTGCCTTCCGCAATTTGGTCTCCTTTCTACCTCTCGTTGGATGAAAACCTCATCAACAGAAATGGGATTGTAAATTTCTTTCACGACCATTTACGACAAGCGGTGGAAGCTAGGTACCTTCCAACGGCAGAAGATAAACAACAAAAATATGGCTATCTTGCAGCTTTCTTTGAAAGTCGGGAGAGCGATGACAGAGTGGTGAGTAAATTGAAGTGACTGAACATACATACTACACACACATACGATGATTTTGTAAAATTCTGAGGTGTTTTGAGTTAATATGATCGACATATCACGCTTTTTTGTTGCCGAGCACCCAATAATTTGTACCGATGTCGCCACGAGAGTTTAGATTAAGAACAAAGTTATGTGGGACATTTATTATCCGTATAACTGTTCGTACCGCATCATTCCAAAAATATACACATAATTTAACGTTTATTCATATAGACATTTTTTTCGTATTCTGTATTGCAGGCTGACGAGTTACCTTACCTACTGGCCAAAGCGGGTGACCTTACTAAACTACGAACTGTAATAACAAAACACGATATCTTTCGACGTCTGATGAAAACCGAAGAAGGAAAATTCGACCTCATAAAATGGTGGCAACTGGTATGTAAATACTTTATCTATCGTGATTTGCCATGCAGTGCGTTCGAAATACAAATATTGCAGATTGTTTGTTTGTTTGAAACAAATCTTCTCTATGTAAACGCTATTGGTGTCCGGAATTACTGTGAAATGGCATTGTGGGTATAGATTGAAAGTACGTTTACAGCGAGGTTATATATATATATATTCAATAATTGTTCCTCCATACAGTTAGGTGACTACACTCAGGTAGAATCAGCCTATCTCGACGCTCTGGCAGACATCGATAAAAAAGACGAAGACGTTAAGGATCTTTCTGGTCTTGTCCAATCAATCGCCGAGTTCTTTATTGATTTGGGGTTATATAACGGAGCCAAGTAAGTTATCATCGATTTCAGCTTCTCAGGTCTCTCGAATAGGGGGGGGGGGGTATATCGATTACATCATCTCGTCTCATTCTAATGAGCTATTAATATTGCATGCCGCATTGTGCTTTCAAATAAACACAGCATGTATTTGGTATATTAACGAATTACACAAATATATATATATATATTTTGAATTAATGGTACGTGGCGTTAATTCGAAACTTGCTTGAATATTTCTGTATAAAATTCTCAATAATGTCTTTAATGCCGTCTTTGTAAATTGAGGTGAAGACATGCGCAGTTAGAGCATTATCTCATCTAAGTACAATGTCCCGGATGTTTCATAGATAATTATAGCATTCTCATATACTTTTTTGTTTCAATACCAGGTCTCTGTACAAAAGGCTTCTGTCTCAGCTTGAAGCTGAGTACCTGACATCCCACAGTACCGTTGTCTATTGCGTAAACAATCGTAGACGTACACACAGATGTAACCACCCACGTGTCATCGATGTGAGTAGAATTTTAAATTGATATTCGAATTTACTGTGATAGTAATGGTGTTCGTTATGAAATATTTCACACATATTTAATATGTTAAAGTTGTTTACATATGAATACGTGCCGTAATTTAGCGGTATTGCACTGGGTATTTTCATCCTACCATATTAGGAAATGCGTAAGTGTCCTCTAATATTAATCGGTTCTACTAAACTGTTTTGCTCCGCGTCGGTCGATACTACAGCTGTTCTGTCTTCGTGCATACTTGTTGGTATCCTCGTAATAACCTCATATCATTCCAAAGAACATGTGTTTACTTGTACGTATAATTATTATACAAATGAACACCCAAACAGCGGTGGATATACAGTTTTAGGCGAAACTCTGAAGGTCTCTAAAACTGTATGTCCTCCGCTGTTTGGGTGTTTATTTGTATTATTATACCGGATAAATCATAGAACAGAAATTGTGACACTCAATCATGGCAAACTTCAGTTCACGCTTGTAGAACTGAATGCATGTATGAACACAAATATACAAGTTCAGTGAAAGAGTTCAAGAGCAGTGATTGAATTCTATTAAGTTTTATTATGGACGTCTTTTTACTTTCATGGTTGTTTTGATACAGTTAATTTCAACAGCTTCAGTCTGACAAATAATTGATTTTTGCAACAACATGCGGCGCCATCCTGTGCGCAGCTATACGCTACATTGCATTCCAGTTCGCATCACATGTAGAACACTGAAACGAGCTGCACACGAAGCTGCACACTGCTTGAGTATAGGCTTCTGTCAACACCATTCTTTTTCAACAAATACACTGTCAATATACTGTCACAACACACACAACACGTAACAAACTCAAACAAAACGAAGCCGTCATACGGCAAAGCCGGGGCCAAAGCCCGCGACTCTCAGATTATTTAGGTTGACGAACTACGCAATCGCAGATCGATTGTCTCAAAGCGCGTAGCTGAGCGCGCTGGCGAACGCACGACAAGCTTGACTAAAAATCACGCGAATTCG